CATATATGCACCCAATATAGGAGCACCAAAATATATTAAAAATCTTTTGGAGGACTTCAAAGGAGAAATCAGCAGCAATACAATCATAGCAGGGGACTTCAATGCCCTGCTCACATCGCTGGATAGATCTTCTAGACAAAAAATTAGCAAGGAAACAGAGACTCTAAATGAAGCGCTAGATTAAATGGATTTCATAGATATCTACAGAAAATTACACCCCAAAACTACAGAATTCACATTCTTCTCAAGTGCACATGCGACATTCTCAAAGATAGACCACATGATACGACACAAACTAAATCTCTACAAGTTCAAGAAGATTGAAATTATATCAAGCATCTTCTCAGATCACAATGGCATGAAACTAGAAATCAATTGCAACAAGAACATGCAAAAACATTTGAACACATGGAGACTAAAGAGCATGATATTGAACAATGAATGGGTTACCATGGAGATCAAGGAAGAAATTAAAAACTTCCTGGAAACCAATGAAAATGAACACACAACACAAAATCTATGGGGATGCGGCAAAAGCAGTTCTGAGAGGGAAGCTCATAGCACTACAGGCCTACCTCAAGAAGCAAGAAAAATTTCTAATAGACTCTCTAACCTCACAACTTAAAGAACTAGAAAGCAAACAAAAAGAAAACCCCAGAGCAAGTAGAAGGAAGGAAATAGTAAAGATCAGAGCAGAAATAAATGACATGGAGACCAAAAATCAATTCAAAGGATCAATGAAACAAAGAGCTGGTTCTTTGAAAAGATAAACAAGATTGATGTACCCTTAGCTAGACTCACCAAGAAACAAAGAGAGAGAACCCAAATATACAAAATCAGAAATGAAAGAGGAGAAATAATAACTGACACCACAGAAATACAAGGGATTGTGAACAAATATTATAAACAATTATATGGCAACAAATTCGACAATCTAAGCAAAATGGACAAATTTCTAGAAACACAGAGTCTCCCAAAACTGAACCGGGAAGGATAGAAAACTTGAACAGACCAATAACAACAAAAGAAATTGAAGATGTAATCAAGACTCTCCCAGCAAACAAAAGCCCAGGCCCAGATGGCTTCACGAGGGAGTTTTACTGAACATTCAAAGAAGAACTAATACCCATTTTCCTCAAACTATTTCAAAAAATTCAAGGAGAAGGAAGACTTCCAAACTCGTTTTATGAGGCCTGCATAATTCTAATTCCAAAACCAGAAAATGACACTACAAAGAAAGAAAACTACAGGCCAATATCCCTGATGAACATAGATGCCAAAATCTTGAACAAAATACTAGCAAATCAAATCCAGCAATACACCAAAAAAATTATTCACCATGACCAAGTGGGATTCATCTCAGGGATGCAAGGCTGGTACAATATTCACAAATCAATAAATGTGATACACCACATAAACAAAATGAAAGATAAAAATTATATGATTATATCAATAGACACTGAAAAAGCATTCGACAAAATCCAGCACCCATTTCTGATAAAAAGGCTCAGCAATCTGGGAATAGAGGGATCATATCTCAACATAATAAAGGCCATATATGAAAGACCTACAGCTAACATCCTATTAATGGGCAAAGATTAAAAGCATTTCCCTTAAGAACAGAAATAAGACAAGGATGCCCATTTTCGTCACTCTTATTTAACATAGTACTGGAAGTCTTAGCCACAGCCATCAGACAGGAGGAAAAAATAAAAGTGATCCAAATTGGAAAGGAGGAAGTGAAACTGTCATTATTCACAGATGACATGATACTATACGTAGAAAACCCCAAAGACTCCCTCAAAAATTTACTAGAATTAATAAATGAATTTGGCAAAGTAGCAAGATACAAAATTAATGTCTAGAAATTGATGGCATTTTTATACACCAATGATGAACTTACAGAAAGAGAAACTAAAAAAACAATCCCATTTACCATCACGGCAAAAAAATTAAGATGCCTAGGAATAAACTTAACCAAAGAAGTAAAGGACCTATTCGCAGAAAACTACAGGTCATTGAAAAAAGAAATAGAGGAAGATATAAAAAAGAGGAAGCACATACCTTGTTCATGGATTGGAAGAATTAACATCATTAAAATGTCCATACTACCCAAAGCAATCTATAGATTCAATGCAATCCCCATCAAAATACCAACAACATACTTCACAGAACTAGAACAAATACTTCAGAAGTTCATATGGAACCCAAAAAGACCTTGAAAAGCCACAGCAATCTTGAAAAAGAAGAACAAAGTTGGAGTGATCACATTACCAGATTTCAGGTTACACTACAAAGCCACTGTAATCAAAACAGCCTGGTACTGGCACAAGAACAGGCATATAGACCAGTGGAACAGAACAGAGAACCCGGAAATGGACCCAAGGCAATATGCTCAATTAATATTTGACAAAGGAGGCAAGAGCATACAGTGGAGTCAAGACAGCCTGTTTAATAAATGGTGTTGGGAAAATTGGACAGCTACATGCAAAAAAGTGAAACTAGACCATCAACTTACACCATACACAAAAATAAACTCAAAATGGATAAAAGACTTTAATGTGACTCATGAATCCATAAAAATCCTAGAAGAAAATGTAGGCAACAAAATTTCAGACATCATACGCAGCAGAATTTTCACTGATACATCACCTAAGGCAACAGAAACAAAGGAGAAAATGAACACATGGGACTACATCAAACTCAAAAGCTTCTGCACAGCAAAAGATACAATCATCAAAATGGAAAGGCAACCCACTGTAGGGAAAGCATCATTGCCAATTATACATTAGATAAGGGGTTAATTTCCAAAATATATAGAGTGCTCATACAACTCAACAAAAGGAAGACAAAGAACCCAATTAAAAAATGGGCAGAGGAAGTAAATAGACACCTCTCCAAACAGGACATACAAATGGCCAAGAGACGTATGAAGAAATGCTCAACATCACTAATCATCAGAGAGATGCAAATTAAAACAATGAGGTATCACCTCACACCTGTCAGAATGGCCGCCATCAACAAATCATCAAACAACAAGTGTTAGCGAGGGTGTGGAGAAAAGGGGACCCTAGTGCACTGCTGGTGGGAATGCAGACTGGTGCAGCCACTATGGAAAACAATATGGTGTTACCTCAAAAAATTAAAAATTGAACTTCCATTTGACCCAGTGATCCCACTTCTAGGAATATACCCTAAGAAGCCTGAAACACCAATCAGAAAGAATATATGTACCCCCATGTTTGTAGCAGCACTATTTACAATAGCTAAGATCTGGAAACAGCCCAAATGTCCATCAGTATATGAATGGATAAAAAAGCTGTGGTACATATACACAATGGAGTACTATGCTGCTGTAAGAAAGAAAGATCTCTTATCCTTTGAGACTACATGGTGGGACCTGGAAAGTGTTATCCTAAGTGAAACAAGCTAAGCAGAGAAAGACAAATATTACATGATCTCACTTATTTGTGGAATATAATGAACACAACAGTCTGAGGAATGGGGTAGTCCCAGAGACGTGGAAGTGGGGTACAGACTGACAATCCCCAGAAGAGGGAGTGGGGGGGATAAATCACAGAACTTATATGCATGTATGCATGAACAGTGGACATGGACAACAAAGCTGGGGACAGGGCGGGGAGGGAGGGGCAGCGGGGAATCAGTGGGGGAAAAAGGAGAAACATCTGTAACAAAAATAAATTAATTAATTAAAAAAAGAAGAAAAAAAGGCCCATTTGATTAAAAAAATAGTTTCAAAAGAGACAGAATAGGAAGAGGGAAGAATTGATCAGGCAAGAGGAAGGGATAAGTAGGGCAATTTCAGGAGGAACTCAGCAGGTGAGGGGCACACGAGCAGAAGTGAAGGGGTGGCCTTAAGATGGGGCACAGAGCCCTGGCCGATTTGGCTCGGTGGTTAGAGCCTCAGCCCACAGACCAGAAAGACCCAGGTTCGGTTCCCGCTAAGGGCACATGCCTCCGTTGCAGTTTGTCCCCGGCCCAGTTGGGGTCATGTGGGTGGCAGCCAGTCGATGTGTCTCTCTCACGTTGATGTTTCTCCCTCTCTCCTTCCCGCTCTATCTGAAGATAAATCAGTGGTTCTCAACCTTCCTAATTCCATGACCCTTTAATACAGTTTCTCATGTTGTGGTGACCCCCAACCATAAAATTATTTTCGTTGCTACTTCATAACTGTAACTTTACTACTGTTATGAATCGGAAAACACATATTTCCAATGGTCTTAGGCGACCCCTGTGAAAAGGTCATTCGACCCCCAAGAGTCGCCACCCACAGGTTGAGAACCACTGAGTAAATGCAAAAACGCCCTTGGGTGAGGAGAAAACAACAACAAAGGGCCCAGAGTTACAACCTGAGGGAGGGCAGACTCTCAAACTCAATGTCAAGGTCCCTAAGGAACCGTACACTGTGCCTGATAAATATCTCTGATGCCTGTTATTTTTCTGGGAAGATAGAAAGAATATGAAAGGGGATCAAAACGAGACAGGGAAATAACCAGTCCTGAGCATTCAGGATACCCGAGGCACCAGGCGAAGCTTCACTCCGCTGCCTCAGTGTGCACCTCCTTCAGAGGGGGGCGCTATCCCCACTTATGAATAAGGGAATGGAGGCTCCCAGAGCCTGTCACACGCTAGTCAACAGTGCAACTGAGAGTGGAGTTCGGGTGTTCCCGCCTGCGAGCCGTTTCCCTCCACCACAGCATACTACTTTAAATAGCCTCTGAAGTTCAGAAAGGAAAACTTAATCACAGTTTATGTAGAAGCTATTTAAACTTCAGAATCACTCTCATGTCCAGAGAAACACGACAAGAACCCATGCCTTAACTTTGGGAAGTTATCAGAGCAGCACATCTTCTCTTCTGACTACATTACGACGACTTTTTGTGGTGATGAAGATTTGAAAATGAACAATGATAAACAGGCATAGTTATATACTGCATGAGGACTTTTAATTAATATTTCACATTAATTTTTCTTCCCAGATATTGAAATACTTCATGAGACATTTCTGAACATTGAATCAAAGGATACTAGATTACAGAAAGTTAAAGCCATTCTGCTGCTACCGCGGTGTTCTGGACTGGGTATTAGTAATCCAGTGGAATTTATTTTAAATGAGCATGAAGGTACTCGTTTTAACTTCCAAATTACTGAAATTTATTGATAATAACTTTGAAAATAAAATTATTTAAAATAATTAAAATGACATATCTGATTAATGAATAGTTTTCATATGAAATACTGTGTGTAATACACTTGATATTCATTACCCCTTTAATCCTTAGGCGTAGAACGTGAGGCTGGCCTTATCCTGGGCTATCCTGAGGGGGGCATGCAGGACTAAATAAGCCATGGGTGACAATAAACCAGACGCTGGGCGAACAGCCCACGGGAAATTACAAATGAGGAGAAAGGAAAAAAGTCTCCTAGGTATTGGTCATGTTTTGAGGTGACAGGATAAGCCTATAAGTGGTCTTTGGCAATCCTGGAAAAAATGAGCGCTTTTGAAGGAAACTGAGGAGATAGTAAGTAGCCAGGGCAAATAAGGAACTGCTGACCTAATGACTATGGTACAAACAGTAGCCATGAATTTAGGGGATGAATCCAAAAGGTTATTTTATCAGACTTAGCTACTAAGTAGAAGAGAGCAATCATGAGTTCATTCTGAAGAACATTGAAAACTATTAGAACCATTGAAGACTATATGATGTTGGTCATTGCTAACAACTTGGAATTATTTAAAGAAGGATGAAAAAGGTAATCGATGTGGTTTTAGAGTATTATAATGTATAAATAGTCTTTTAAAAAGTGATAATTTTAGAACATCTAATAGTGATATAATATAAAGCATTTATCTGCTTTTAGATACAGACTTACTTAAAGATTTCTCTCAAGGAGGCACATCAGAAGATAAACTTCACGTTCTTGCTCAACAGCAATATGTACAGCTAACACATGCAATGAAATGTAAGTTTATCAGTTCAATCTTAACATACGCTGTAAATCTTAGAAACATTAATACTTCATTTCTCCATTATAATCAGGCAGTGAGGTGTGCACCATAAGCGAATTTCCCGGAACACCCAGCCCTAGCACCTTCAAGTAACAAAATATTTATTTTTACCAACTTAAGTCTTTAAAAAAGATATGTTTTACTATCATTTCTTAACAGAGGTTAGCAAGCATAATTAAAAGTTTCTTAATGCTGAAGTGAAATAAATATGTAGATCCATTATTGTACAGTTTCATCTTCTCTATTTCTTTTTTTTGGCTTCTTGTAAATTTTCTGTTGTCACTGTGACTACCCCTAACAATTCTTCTGCGATCCAAATTTTAATCAATCTTGTATTCATTTTAGTGGTAAATAGAGAATAGAGACATGCAATTACAGATGAAGCCCAAACCCCTTGATTTGAAGTCTGAGTAACAAGGCTCTTTGAGTGTTTATATTATTGTTTCAATCACTGCATTTAGATTTGAGTACCATTTAGATTCTGAGTACACATGGACATGGGAATCTAAAAGTGTCTGAGAAATTATGCACATTTTTAGGAATTCAGGCATGTTTGTCAAATGCCCACGCTAGGTGGCATTAATCTGGGTGTTAGGGATATGAGTGTAAACAATCCTGACCTTCAAAGGCTCAAAGGTAAGGACAGGTGTTAGAGAAGAGAGAGAGTTTGGCCACTCGGCACTGGGAGAGCCACACACTGCACACCGAGAACTGCAGTGAAGAAATATTGGCTACTTGATCGGTCAATGGCGCCACCCAGGAGAATGCCCTCGTGACGGATAGGTGACAGACATGGGCCAAAATCTCAGGACACCTTGGGTTCCTGGTCCTGTTGGGAGCTGACTGATTGCAGGTGAGGGAAAGGTACAGAATAATTTCTTCAGGTCTTGAGGACAGCTGAGGTCTTTTCTGGTGTCCCTCTGTCCGATTCAATGGGGAAGTAGCCAGGGGTGGTTCCACATTAGGGCTCAGGAACTGAAACAAAACTGAGGTCAAGATGTTATCTTCGGCCTGCCAAGGTCCAGACCTCGTGACGTTAGTCAGGTCCGGGCTGCTGTCTTCTGCTGCCTCGGGTTGCTGATTATCCAGGGGAAAGGTCTGTGTATATGGCGCATGTGTGAGAGAGATGATTTCTAGAGCTAGGATATAAACTAAATTTAATCAAAGTTATAGGCACCCTTAGTTTCATAAGGTATTGATAAATCAATGCATAAAGAGATAGCAGCCCTGGCTGGTTTGGCTCAGCGGTTGGAGCTTTGGCCTGCTGACCAGGTTTGGTTCCTGCTAGGGACGCGTACCAAAAAAAAATATATATATATATATATATATATATATATATATCTCATACGTGAGGTAGAAATAAAGCAAAATGTAAAGCACAGAAAAGGTCTGCCCTTTTGATGCTACTAACAAACATTAATTTAAACATGCTAATTGTGTATATGATCTATGAAATAAGCTGGTTGGAAGATTAGGAAGTTGCTAAATAAATGTTATCACACTTTCTCTGACTACTCTATTTAAAATTATAGTATCACCTCTTGAAACTAGACATCCTCCATACTTGCTTTGTTCTTCTCTATAGCACTTACTACCTCCTGACAACGCTGTAATTTTCCTATTTATTTATGTCTTATCATGCCAACAAAACATGGAAAATAAGCTCCCCAGGGGCAGGGGTTCTTGTCTGTGTATCTCAGATGGCTAGAGCCACGCCTACCACATAGTAGGTATCGATAAGTGCAAAGAAATGAATTGCAGGTGGTACCATCACCTCATTTTAAAGATGAAAAATCTGAGCGGTTAAGTCATTTTCCCAGATTCACACATAAGTAACAGACCCGAGGTCCACCTCTCTGTCTGTTTCTAGAGCCCTTTCAACCAGCTGTGTGCTGTGGCCTGAGGAAGAATGGCTGGAAGCCACGGCTCACGGCAGTCGGCATAGGTACTTGTTTGTGTCTGTAACTAGGATGGTCACATTGAATTTCCATGCAACCCAGTTAGGTTTACTCTACTTTCTCACCACAGACCACATGACTAATACATACTGTAAAGGGGAGCCACGCAGACATCAGTGAAAGTCATTCCCAGCAAAGCCCTGCAGGATCAGTATAAACAGATGTTTGGGGTCATTCTGTTAATCTCATCTTCTTTAAATGCAGTCACTAAAGCTCAAGCAGTTGTTTACTGCACATGTTCAGTTTATCCAGAAGAAAACGAAGCTGTCATTAAGAAAGCACTGGAATTTCAAGACCATGGGACCAAAGTACAACCTTACAGGTGAGAAAGGACAGGATTCTTCTAAACAACTCAACCAAATATTTTTGAAAGTGAAAACTTGTGATTTTATAGTTTTATGAAGACATTCCACATCCTCTTTGTTAGACTTTAATATGCCCAAGTTGCCCATTTTCTTACAACGTGAACATCAGTTCGTGGTATGGGCATTTTCTCGTATGCTGGATTCCTGTTGTCGTTAAAGCTGAAGTCGTTTTGGCTTTGACTTTTCGGGGAAAAGTGAGTCTAAGGTTTATATCCTGACTGTTAGATATATCCATGCCTCAGTAGAAGAAAAACAAGTATTTAACCTGAGAAACTAGAAAGAAAATTGAATGTTTATTATCTGAAAACATACATTTCTTAGACCCTTTTAGCCTTTGACACCCACAGGCCTGAGGTTAAAATAGCCCAAATAACTGTAGTAGCTTCTGGGTAAAATGCTGTGGTAACCTGAGGGTAGAGAAGAAAAGCGGTAATTCTACAACTGAATTGTGGACATCAAGATAAGGAGTAGATCTATGACTCTATGACAGTTAACAAGGTATTTTAAAATGTTTTGTATTATTACTTATTGCTCATGTTTTGAACTTTTCCTTTAATTCTTACAGTAGGTTCTTAATATGCATATGGTTTGCTTCCTTCTTTTAATTTGATATTTTTCCTTTGATCATTCACAAGTGGACATGTTAATCACATCTGTACTTCCCTTCTTATTTTACTTCCTTATTTAGTAACTCTTGTTTGTAGCTAACAGCCAACCGCAGGTTCTGAGTGATTCCTAACATAGCATTAGCTAAATTACCATCTAGTGGCAAAGAGAATTATTGCAGGTATATAACCAAATTCATCACCATGGATGATCACTGGTCAGGAATAAGGTTTCTAAGAATACAATATGACGAAAATGGAGGAACACTTGTATTTCATTTCACTAGATTTTATTTAAGGTAAGCCATTATTATTAACATATAATAAGGTATAAAATACACAAGTAATATTTAAGGACATATTATAAAGACAGAATAATCTGGGATTTGGGCTCAAATTAAAGTGTATATATTTAAGAGGTTTATAATTACTTGTTGGGGATACTGTCAAAAGAAATTATGAATTACTTAGGGAAGTACACTATATGGCCTCTAAGAATCATTTCTAAGTTCCCAAAGTGGTAGACTTTAGGGCTGAAAGCAATGTTATATGCCATCTAATCTAATCACCTTTTGCCAAATTTTCCTTTTTATATCCCAGAAATATTCACCTCATTTTGGATGTCAGCCATCATGATGCTTACCTATGACAATGTAACTTCTTTTGCTTGCCCCCTATTGTAAAAAACTTCAAACATTACAGAAATGCTGTCTTAAAAAGAATTTTTCCAAGTCCCACTTAACCATTTAACCATTCTGAACAGTTTGAGAAGATTGTGCGTATTGTAAATTTTAATTGGTATTGTCAAATTACCCACCAAAATATACTCATATAAACCTCCTTCCCCACAGACTTTAATTCCTCACCAGTCTGAGGCGTGAAGATGAGTTCTCATTGCTGATTAAATTTTCATGTCTCTATTAATGAGTTTGGGCACATTTGCTGTTCACCGGCTGGGAAGTGTACTGTGTGGGACAAATAGGAGGGAGGGTTCTAGGGCACAGACTGCAAACATTTTGCAGGGTTTGAAAACACTTTTTCTTATGCTCCCTAAACATTGATAAATAACTATAGAACCTTTTCTATGTTGTAAAGTTGATGTCTAATATTTTTCATCCTAAGTTTAAATAGTTGTTAACCATATTATTTCTGAAATGTTATATTACATATGTGATTTAAATATATTTCTGTTAAGTCTTTATATCTGCAGATTTATCTTATTCAATTTATGGAAAAATGCTGAATTTGTTGCCTGTTTGACAAAGCAAGTTCTCATGGAGGCACCTTCTCATTGTGAAAACCAGGCTTATTTTGTCAGAAAAAGTCTGACTTTAATTTTTAATTCAAATAAACATGTTAATATGCCTCCATGAGTTACCTCTAATTGTAATCTACAGTAGCTCTGTACAAATAAGGAGGGGAGCAGGGAGGAGGACGGGAGGCGAGGAGGGGAAAGGGAGCTCAGGAACAGAGCTCTTTTAGTGTTTGGCAAACTCTTGAAGATTTCTTACCTAAACCCTGACACTGGAGCAGAGCCACACTCTTGAGTTGTACTATAACAAGGCAAGTGCCTTTTTTTGTTAAGCAGGAGAAGGGCACTGTGGAAGGAGATGTGGCTGTATATTTCACCTGCCTCCGTGGGTCTGTGGGGACTGACTGTCACTACACGAACAGTGCCTGGCAATAGCAGATGTTCAAGAAATGTAGCCTGTTCATATTACACCTTTCAACTGTATCATTCCTCTTTTTCTTCTTGTTACGTGTCTTGTCATCATATATTGGGGATATTAGTTTTCATTTGAACTACAGATATTTTAAAATAAAATTTTAATTAAAAATCTCAAATTTTTGAGTAGACAGTTGTTATCAATCTTTTCCTTATGGCTTGTGTTATATTGATCCTCAGTTTATACATTATTTTACCAATCTTCCTTTCGTATTTTTATACTTGATTTATCTGCTGGTTTTTCTAGTAAAGGATCTATACTTTATCCCCCCCACCCAAATCTTTCAGTCCTTCCCCCCACTGATTTAAAATGTCCATTTTTATATTTTATAATCCCGTAAATACTTCTGCTGAGTCTGTAATTCTATTCTACTCTGTTGATGTTTGGCTATTTCTATACTAATATAAAATGCTTTAATTATTATAATTTTAAAGGGTTTCCTTCTCAAAATTTATTATTTAAAGAAAATGACAAAGCCCCCTACCCACCTTTGTGTAATAAATAAAACAATCCAAAGATGCGTAACGAGGTTAATAATTTCCTTCCTGTATTTCTCCACCTCCAAATCCCCAAATGTCCAGCAGCTGGAACAGGGTCCTGGAGGCCCCTTGATGACCTGCTGTAACCCTTTGTTCCTTTCCAATATATGAGGGTGTGGAGGGGGCACTAGGAGAGGTGGGGCAGCTGGAGGGCACCGGAAGTAATGCTGTTCTTACCACTGGCGCAGCCACACCAGTGTGTACCAGACGAACGAATACCAGCCACGGAGTGTGTGTGTGCAGGCATACCTCGGAGACACTGCGGACTCGGTTCCGTAGCACCACAATAAAGAGTTGAAATCACAAACCATAATCTATTGCTTTAAAGTGTATGATCCACTGCTGTTCAGTATACTCAGGAAGTTGTGCAACCGTCACAGTAATTCTAGAACATTCTTATCACCCCAAACAGAAACTTTGTACCCACTAAGGAGTCACTTCTCATTCTCCTGTCCCCTAGCTTCTGGCAACCATGAATCTACTTTTGTTTCTATGGACTTGCCTATTCTAGACATTTCATTTAAATGAAATGATACAGTATCCTAATACAGTGATACCTCGGTTCTCGAACGCCTCGAATTTCGACCAAATTGGTATTCGACCAGGAGATTCGAGAAACTTTTGTCTCGGAATCCGAACAAATATTTGGAACTCGAACTTCCGAGATGAGCCGAGTTGAGCCGAATGGCGTTCATTCGGCCCAGCGCGCCTTGCTTGCGGCATCAGTGTGAGTGCAGAGAGAGAGTCACGCTTTGTGGAGAGAGTCACGCTTTACACTGAATTTAACCCTTAGACATACTGTACACTTTTATTTCTTGTTGAGACTTATGTTTTTCTACATATTATATACAAATTAGGCCAGTAAATAGGCATTTTCTGGGGCTTGGAACGAATTAATCCAGTTTCCATTATTTCCTATTGGGTTTCATTGCTTCGGTTCTCGAACAATTTGGTTCTCGACCGTCCTCCTGGAACGAATTATGTTCGAGAACCAAGGTATCACTGTATCATCAACTCAAAAAATCCCAGATGCCATCATCTAAATCAGGTGTGAGACTCTGGGTATGAATTTATTTTACTATTCAAAGAAATGGGCTATAAGCTGGGGTTTGTGGATTATTACTACCATTAAAAAGCATATATGTAGTTGAAATATATCATAGCCTATCAAAAAAACATTTACTGAATACCTACTATGTACCAGACACTCTTGTAGGTGCTAGGAATATGTCAGCAAATTAAAACTGACAGAAATCCCAGCCTTCGTATCTACATTGTGGGGCTATGCTCCAAATTGGTAAGAAATAATTATTTTCAGAGAGTATTTCAGAAATAAATATATTTCAGAAAAATGCTTTTGATCCTATTTGTGTAGAGAACATGCAGGGCGAGGCCTCAGAAACCCAGGTGGCCGGTTGCCAGGCTGGTGCAGGAGCAGCTGGCTCTCCTGCCTCAGCCACACAGCAGGTGTCCCCGCCCCGGGCAGCGCCAGCAGTTCGCCAGCAGCGCTGTGGGCCGCTCCGGCGCGTCACCGGAGGTCACGTGTGTTCGCCCACCTTCGAAGTGACCTCTCCATCCCCTCATTCACTTCGTGACACACGGAAATACTTGCTGTACCCCGAACGGACATCTCCCTGCTGGAATCACCTTCTTTACCTTACTGGAACCTACTTGTTCATCAAGACATCGGCACGGAGGCGCCTTCCTCTGTGACGTCTCCACATTTGCTGTCTCCCGTGGCCAGGGTGGATGGCGCTTTATTCTGTACCCCGCGGCACTGGTCTCTCCGCGGGCTCTTTATACTGTAAACCGAGAGTTTCTACAGCTGAATTGCAAACCTTTTACGAGAATCAATGAATACATGTTTTATGTGCTTTGCATATAGTAGGCAAATAATGAATAAATATAAATTTTAAATTTCAGAGTAGAGTATACAAAATGATAGAGTTCCTGATATTTTAATTTATGTGAAAAAGCATTGGTTGCTTTGATTAAATATATTTTAATTATGAAAGTATGGGAACATAAGAATTCTGTATTATTTATGAACGAACCACTTACTATTACATAAGAAATTAAATATTAAATATAAAAACCAAAATTTTATTTTAAACATTTTAGTGATTAGAGTTTTATATTTCTTATAGAAGTCTTTTTTTTTTTTTTTTTAATCCTCACCCGAGGACATTTTTCCATTTTTTGTTCAGATAGAGCGGGAGGGAGAGAGAGAGAGAGAGAAACATCGACATGAAGGGACACATCGAGTGGCTGCCACCCGCACAACCAACCAGGGCCGGGGACAAACTGCAACGGAGGTACGTGCCCTTAGCGGGAACCGAACCCGGGTCTCTCTGGACCACAGGCCGACGCTCCAACCGCTAAGCCAAACCGGCCAGGGCCTTATAGAAGTCTTTATTAGGCACTTTCTTTCATTATGTACACTACATAATTCACCCTTTAATACTCAACAAGTTATTGGGAAAAATAATGTAGTTAAAAAATGCTAGGCCAAATTTTTATGTTGTGCAAAAAGTAAAGAAAAGAAGGAAGTCGTGCTTTGTGCGGCCTGACGTGTGGAAGGACTATTCTGAACTGTGCCTCTGTGACCGCCACACATAGTGACCTGTTTTGATTAGGGGAGCCTCTTCTGTCAACATATTGATTTGGGGAAGAGTTTTTAATTTAATGAAAGGTTGGTATTCTTGCCATTGTTTTTTAACTTGGGAAGTAGAATAAATTACAAGTTAACATGAAATATTAGAGTATTTAAATTATAGTATTGTACAGCTTCAGCATTTTATTTTAATTTGGAATTTCTGTTGAAATGATATGTAAAACATAACAAGAAAATTTGTTTGCAATTTATTGTCTCCCTCAGTTGGCAAATTAGCCTTTCTAACTATGCACTGCTTGCTCCTGTCTCCTGCAGGCTGAGTCCTCCGGTCCTTCCTCTGTGCTCCTTACAGGACATACACTTGACTACTGATACATTTTTCAGAATGGAACCATCTGAAATTACCAATGGTTGTTTTCTTTCTGTTCTGACAAGGGAGGTAAGGGGAAAAAAATCCCAATGTATATCATACTTTGTAATTAAGAAACAACAAATCCTCGGGAAAACGTGTGAGCATTCTGTAATAGTATGCTTTTTAAAATAAATAACTAAAGGGCAGGAATAAGAATTAATGCTTTGTGGCAAAAAAAAAAAAAGAGCCCGTTTTTATCGTTAGACTTCTGAAAGTCCCCTTGCCTGCTTTCCATCCGTTCTCCCAGCACTTTGTCAACATCCAGTTCATCTAATTCACATATAAGAAGTAAGCTCTGTGATTCTCCTCCTCTCCTGTCAGGTTCGGCAATGGGGAAGTTTAATGACAAAAAAGTAATTTGCTGATGCTTATGGGATATATTAGGCCTAAGGCCTAAAAACCATTTCTTCTATCATATACTCTTTTACTTCTTCCGAAACACTGACAACTAATTGTAATATACACACTAAGTTAATGCCCACACTCAGCACCTGCTTCTTTATTGCAGCGGGACCCGTCTGAGACAGTCTCTGTGAAAGATGTTTTGGCCCGAGCTGCAGCAAAGGGTCTACTGGAGGGGATTGAGTTGGGTAAATCTTCAAAACGGGAGAAGAAGAAGAAAAAATCAAGAACATTATTGCAAAAAGCTTCTGCTACTGACAGTAACGGTATTCAAGCTAAAATTGCTGAGTTCCTGAATCGAGAAACTAATGCAAGTGCTAACTGGTCACAGCCTTCAACAACGAAACCCTGTCTTCCCCAAAAAAGCACAATTCAAGTGGGTTCTTCCACACAGGTCAGAAGACCCAGCAAGACTGCCACCAACCCCTTGGTGCCTACACTTCTGAAGAGCACATCTCCCTCCAGAACGTACGGACGCCCCACAAACTTCGCAAGGCCTCGCCAAGAAGACAGGATGGTGGTGCTGAAACCCGTAGAGATTGTTTTGCCTCCAGTAACGTTCCCATTTTCAACTCCCCAAGGGATCAGACCTCAGATGCCAAGTCAGCATTTTTACTGTCGTTGGGTTGGACCCAAGATTGTTGTGCCTGGCTACCTTTCTGTGCCGTCAATATCCAAAAAAGGGGAGAAGCCTAAAGAAAACTTACCTTCCTCCCTCCTCAGACATCGTCGGCCGTGGCTTTGAGTGTCTCGTGGCTTTTTTTTTTTTTTTTTAAGTGGTTAAGAGCGGTTGATTTTTTTCAGTCTGATACTTCTCTGAAGGTTAGACATCCCTACACAAGATCCTCTTCCTTTTGGTCACTTAGTATCTGCTAAATGTGATATTACCTTCAAGAGAATCAGGACCAGTGAGAATGATGTAGGTGGTTAAGCAAAGCGAATTCAGAGACCGCAACAGCTCAGGGCTGATCTGCTCTAGAGCGTCCACCTGTAGACTCAGTCTCCGCCGTTAGAACTTGACTCTGGTTAACGCTCAGTGTGGATTTGGGACACAGCTTTAAAGGAAAGCTGCAACAATTCTTCCCGAAGGGAAACAGTCGGCCTCGTTGACAGGCTTTTTTTCAAACTTAATTTGCGAGGCAATTGAACAGCTGTGGGAAGGATGCTGGCCCCTCTCACGACTGGAGATTGCCCTTCAGTGTCGTGTCAGTTGTAGCTTAACCTTGTCCGTCTCTCTGGAGGTTTTTATTCCCCTTAAATATCAAAATATCCTTTAACCTGTGTGAGTTTTGGGATGACTGAGCTGAGCAGGGAGAACAGGAAGCTCCAGAGCTCCAGGCGTGGGCAGTGCAGACGTCCATCTGGAGCGAAACGTTCTCACTGGAAGGGCTTCCGGGACCGAGTACCAGCAGCTCGCCTTTCCAGTTATGCCAAACGCTATTGTGAACAACAGTGACCAAGCAAATTCCCACCTAACAGTGATGGTTCTGAGGAAGAGGCAAACTGTTGAATACAAGTGACACCTGTTCTTGAAGAAACCCAGGAAAACTTCTGATTCTATTCAAAGGCCAGTCAAATACTGAAATCTACGTCATTTCAAATGGCAGTTAGCAAATTTTGGTAAATCACTTCTGATGCACCATGAAAATATAGCACTTTGTCAATTATTAATTATCTACCAAGAATTGGTATGATTATCATTTCTGGGTCTATTGATCTTTTTTTCCATTATGGTGAAAGAAATTGCTTGATATTAAATTGAGTAAGTTACAACTATAAATCCTATTGTTCAGAAAAATGTTCAGACACATTCATAAAGTTTGAAGTTCTATTTCAGAATTCAGTTGTGTTGAACAGTGTTACATAAATTTCTGACTGTTCAATTTGGGTGGCATGATTTTAGTAGAATATTATCCTCTTCCAGTTGATGTTTAGGTCTGTTTCAGCTCTAATGTTCTAGTTTTTTTCGCTTGAAGTGAGGTTAAAAAATGGTGAATATCACTTTAGTAGTAATAAATTATTTTATTTTAGCTGAAGGTTTACATCTATCTATAAAATGTGTTAGTGAAAAAAAGGAAACAGAACTTTTTATACTTGAACCAGACATATTTTAAATGCCAAAAGAATTCTCATGTGTTCATTGTAGCTCTAAATGTACAAATATTTTAATTACTCAGTTTATTTTTGCTAATCTCAGAAGTAAAATATGATGCATTTCTCTGCTGTGAAAGTTAGTGTTTCAGCCTCCACCCGGCTGAGAGCGTCCTCCCCTGGGAGGCCATGCAACTGAACTGAACTTTGTCGTCAAGAGCTGGTATTTCACCCCGGGAAACTTTTATCCCTCTCCTACCCTCTTGCCCTGCTTCAGGCTCCACAGTACTCCACTGTCCAAAGGGAGCACGTCTGAGATGGTTGTGGTAAGTTCTAAGAAGAAAACTGTCACTGCTATGAAATAGTTCGGGGTGTTTTCCCGATCCCTATAGCAGCACGGTTCCCGTCCTGTCACCGTAGCACTGACATTCAGAACCTCATAGCGTGCACCTGCCACTGGTAGTTTTCTCCTTAGATGTAGACGGAGGTTCTGAATGAAACCATTCATTCATGAAGCCTGCAGTTTCTCCTTTGAGAATCTTCTAAGGACATGATCAGTTACTTGGATACTTTGGTAGTCAAAAGAAAAAAAAGTACTTGGCATAAAAACAATATTTGAGAATTCTAGTGAAGGAGAATTGACAACACTGACATTTTCTCTTGAGCTCCCTAGAGAAAGGTGTGGCAAAAATCTACCATAATTCTGGTATGTAGCTACTACTCCAATAGCATTCAGATTTCAATCTAAATTTACCCTCTGTAACACCTGAAATCAGTGAAATTTTGTTCCTCGAGAGCAAATGCTTTTGATAGCGTAAGAGAGATATATATGCTCCTGGGGTACATGCAAGGTGAGCAAAGAATGGTACATACTCGGAATTCGTTTCTCTTCTCCCACATCTAACGCTTAACCTAAGCCGGAGTCAACGGATTTGTTCTCCCAGTTACCTTTTTATTTGGGATTTAGTGGCTGTACAACTCGTCTTCATCCTCTGATGTCAGGTTCTTTCTAGTTCTTACCAGGTGGAAATATGCAATAACTAATCAAAACTGAATCTTACATTACTGAAATGATTTTTAATTTGAGGCATGAATACTTTGAAAATAAAATGACTAGCGTGGAGACGCTAAAATTGTATTTCTTGTTCCTGCATATATATGACTGAGATATCAGATAAATGAGCCAAACACTTTATGCAGCTAAGTTTATTCTCACAACATGTTACATTTAAATGTGTAAAAGTGATCAACAGCAAAAATGGGCAGAAAGCAAAAACCAAATGTTCTTTCAGGACAAACAAGCTGCTCTGAGTGGCAGGGAGCGCTCTCATTGACACAGTGTGAACAGTGTCTTTTCCCTGAAGCTGAAATAAACTTTATTTCCTGGCTATGTATGTAACACACCCATTAGCTGTGTGCTAGGGTAAGCAAGCCCGGCAAACTAGAGAGCGAATGCTTTCACTGGTTCACTTGTGCTAATACCAGGGAAATGTTTTCCACGTTGGTTGTGAAGTCTTGAATTTGTGTTGCAATGCTTATGAAAATAAGTGTGTTATACAAGAAAAGAAGAGAGATTTAGGGCTCCTACTAAATGACCTGTAGAATCATCTTACCAATGTCCATCATAAAATCACAGTGGATTTTTAAAAAAAAGTAGCAGTGCCAACAGGGTATCACCAAGAACTTATTTTAATGGAAATGAATCTAATGTCCCTTCATGCAGTAAGACACAAACCAAAAACAGTGGTTCTAATCAGCTATGGGTGGAAACCAAGGGCAGGTGGCATGTGTCTGTCTTGCAGAGGAGATCGCACATGTTGTGAAGGATATAAAAATGCAGCACCAAGCAGTGCTTTCGTTTGCAAAGTAAAAATTTCAGCCACAGGCATGTTGGCCATTCCCCTTGATGCTGCCAAGGAGCACATATATGAGGTGGCAAGTCTGTGTCTATCTAGCTGCTTTTAAAAAATAAAAGGAACTTTAAGTATTTGCCTTTCCTTCTACATATTCCAATAAAAATGTGACTACAAATCATTACAAAACCACCTTTTAGGCAAAGTATAGTTCACTGAGATTACTTAGACCTGGATACATTGTGAGATAATATCCAGTAAAGATAATACATTAACACAATAATGCAGTATATTTCAGTAAAAATAGAATAAATAAAAATATTTTAAGCTGTATTTAACAGGTTAATTAAAAAAATGATAAGACATACAAGGCATAGTGAACATGGCTGCCTGTTTACCAAACCACAGATAGAATGCATAGATCACCGAGGTGTCACTACAACATCAGGTAACACGCATCCTGGCACAGAAACACACGTACTTTCATACATACTTTTTGGCCATGGCAGAAAGTGTCTGAACATACTGTTTAACATAATTAACTTTACAAAATTAATCGCATTTAGTATGCAAAGCTATCTTCAAAACAAAGTATCTGCAGTGACATTTTCAATACGTGAAGGCTATCATTCATCTTAATGTCCTACCATTGCATATATAATCAGTTTGCTACTTAAAGCTTGCTCAGTGTGCTTGATCCCGAAAACAAACAAACATGTCTTAAAAAATGAACAGGGGGTTCTGGTAGAGATTTCCAACATAAAAGTGGATTCATTGCTTAGAATTTTGAAGTTTATCGTACCAAAACATTTCATTGTGGAGATCGTGATTAAATCTGAAACAGCTTTCAAAGGGCACAGTATGGATTTTCTTAACACAGTAATTTCTGAAGATGGTATTGGGCACTTCAGATAGTAGGTGGGTTGGTGAGACATATGATTCATGTCTAGAGTGGCATCTTTGTTGTTATGACACGTGGGGGCTAGCAACGACTCCAGAATTCCGGGAGGGAACGCGCGGGAGGCCACGACTCATTCCATCGTTTCCTGGTGGCTCCGCATGGCGAATGGGCAGGGCCTGCACCACAGGTACCCACCTCTGGAAACCCTCCCGGGACCCTGTCCTCGACTACACGTCCGGGCACCCCGCGGGCAACAGTCCTGGACTGGGAACAGGCAAGGGCTCGTCATCCCTGCCGCTGCCCGAGACATCCAGACAGGCTCCCTACCGACACGAGGGAGGTGAGGTTTCCCACCGGAACCGCATGTGCCGAGGCAGGTGTGAGGCCGGCCGGCTGGAGCGCAAGCAGCACTCATAACTGGGAGCTGGCGGTGTGGGTCCTGGTCCTGACTCTCACGCACCTGCCGGACCTCGGCTGGGGACAGCCTCTTGTACCTCATGTTTTCGTTGCTCAAACGTGTTTGTACCTGCTCTACCTCACAAGGCTCGAATGGTAGAACGGGGGAACCATCTGACAAGTACATAGCAGAGGACTCACAGAAAGCAGTTCCTTTTATCACTGGGTGCTGTCAAATGTTAACTTGGACATGAAACAGTAAACAAGACGAATGTTTGGATTGATCTCCTTAGCAAATTCCTTTTAAAACAATGTTAACAAAGGTCTAAATCTGCGAGTCTTACAGCTAAGCTTCAAGTCTACAGAGAGAAGCAGGAAAGTGTTAGTTTCGGGAAACTTGATAAATAGCACATTGTCCTTAGGTAGATTTTGCTCTTCTATGAAATTTTTAAATCTTGAAAATATATCAGAAAAAAATTTAAATTTAAAAATATAGCTAGTGAAGTCCAACAAATTCTAATAGTAAATACATACATTCAAGAAAGGTTCAATTTAATGTAATTTGTTGCCATGGAAAATACATGATGGACAGACAGCTTTCTGGGCAAAAAGCATGAGGGTAAGACTGAGCTAGATGCGGAGTCCTAGCAGGTGTTCACTCAGGAGCGACTAACAAACAGCATGGTGGTGACGATATAAAACACAAATGACGTTTCCTCAATCCCAAATTGCATATTGGCTAATTATCAAACTAAGGATAAAAGGCTTACAAGGAATATTTCATTTTAATGTTGTTTATGTAGAGAATGGCCATAGTGAACTATAATTCTCTAGCTGCATTGTACAATATAAGGCAGAAGTCTGAATTTGTCTCACCCAAAATGCATTATGATTTTGTTAACTTCTTTTTCTCAATCAGTTTGAAAACCATCTGAACAGAAAGGCTATTTTTATTCGATTTTAATTTCTGAAATTTGGTTTGTTTTCAATTTTGAAATTTCGTTGTTCTCCCAACATCCCCCAAACAGCGGTGGCCCCGAAACGGTGCCCGCAGGTCAGAGAAAGGCGTCGGGGCAGCGCCAGTTGGTTTCCAGACTGATGCCGATAGCCAATTTTGTCAACCGAAAGGGTCAATTTCATGAATTTAACTAAAACAAAAACCCATCATCCTATTCTTACAGCATTTCAATGGTATCTGGTGTGCAGGGTCTACTCCGATGCTGAACACAGGACAAAGTGCTGTAGGACTTTAAAGTTGCTTGTGACAGATCCAAAGACAGTGAAACCGACCCAGGCGCCATTCGGTCCAAGGACTCGGCATTGGTTCACCAGGAGGGGTGTGGCCACATTCTTCTCTGTGTGTGAAGTTAAGCAATGTTCATGATATTTACAGTAAGAAAAAGACCTTCCACTGCTCATGATGTAACTTACTGACAGCAAAAAAATTAGTCATGCTTCTTTTCATATCACATGATGGTGGCAAGACGAGAGAACATGCTTGTCTAACACTGTTTGGTGAAGGTTAAGTTCTCTGAAGACAAAGCATCAGCGACGGAATGGAAGGCCGGACATCAGTTCCTCTCTCTAGTGTAGCTGTTCAGTCTTCAGGTGGAGATCACAGCCCCTCGGCACGTGCAGCTACGGCGTTTCCGTCACAGGGCGTTTCTGTTTCAAAGTGTCAATGAGGGATAAGACCCCGCGCTTCACATTGGTTGTGACTCTTCTGGTCACGGAGTCTGCGGGCGGAGGAGGTGGTCGCACCTTCTGTGAAGGCGGCCTGGCCACCAAGCACTTCTGGTATCGTAACTGAAACAGAACATGGTTTGTGCTCATTAATATGTGTCATCCCTTCTTGTGTAACGTGATTTTAACTTGTCACCAATACATCCACCCCCCCCCCAAAGTTAATGACCTAGCTCCTAAACATGAATCCAAGAACTTAGCAATTTTTTCCTTAAAGTGGAGTGTTTTACATTTTCTTAAAAGAGCATGAGGCTCGGTAAAGATGCTTTGGCCCTCGTCACCTTTCCCTCCCGTCCAGCTCCTCCCTCTACGTGTCCTCCTCCGACAGGCCGCAGCTCACACCCGTGGTCAGGAGCACGTGTACACCGAAGTCCTAATGCAAGTCTAACTCTTCATGGATTAATCTTTAACAACCCATTAGCACTAGCACCGTGGACAGTTTCTTGTCCTTCAGAAATCTAACACCACAATCCACTTGCTTTAGTATTAATGCAAAGATAAGTAATTCTTCAAAATTAGGTAAAAAGGTTAAAATTTATCAAAATTTCCTCCCTAATCTAGGCACTTTAAATAATTCCATGGCTGGTTTTAAAAAAATCAATTTAAATATTAATAAGTTCCGTAGTACAATGTGAAACAGGCTGACACTTCCCCTGGAGAAGCATAAACTACCTACAGCAAGACTCGGGGTCACAATGTTCTGTCACAGCCTGCAGAACACAAAACGGGCCGCTTCCAACCCGGTCACGCGGAAAATGATTTATCACGTGTCTCCTCTGTGTGAGGTCTTGTCAGGGCTCCACCACAACCCGGGCCAGGCACTTGTAAAGTACGGAGTTAGGAAAGGGCAGCGGTGGCAACGTTGTCCACTGGGCTGGGAGCCCCTAATGCTACTTAGGGCGCCTGGTGTGAATGGAAACGGTGCCTGACGAACGTCACTAAGGACGCCTCTGTCTTACTCTACATTTCACCCAAATCTTTTCAGCTGGGCCTCTACCACACAGCTGCAAAATATGCCTAACAATGAAGTAGATCCAAACAAATGTGTTCACACCACAGGCATCGCAGATGGTACAAATTCGTGCAGATCTCTCAGATGGAGACCTGAGCAGATGTGAGACAGGAGGAAAGCCTCTGAGCTAGAAATGCTGGCTTCGGAACGTCAAGAAAGGTTTGATTTTTATCAACATGCCTTAAACAGGACTGGCTGAGCCTCTTCAGCGGGCTGCCCTAAAACCATTAAAACAGTAAACAAACGAGCCCGGCCGGTGTGGCTCAGTGGTTGAGCATGGACCCAGGCACCAAGAGGTCGCTGGTGTGATTCCCGGTCAGGGCACAGCCCAGGCTGTGGGCCCGATCCCCAGTGGGGGCCAATCGATGTTTCTATCTCTCTCCCCCTCTCCCTTCCTCTCTCTCTAAAATCAATAAAGAAAATAAAATAGTAAGCATATGAGTAAACAATTGCTTCAAAGACAAAGCATGGGTCTGGGATTCAGAAAATTAACTGTAACCAGTGATAAAGCTAATTATTTATCAGCATTTAAAATGGTTAATTAAGGCTGAGGGGCATTCATTTTATGACAAAAACCATCTGGTACGATAATTTTCAGTTTCACGAAATACCTACATAGTCATCCTCCATTTCTGCTCCCCGAACTCGGCTTCTCCTTCCCTCACACAGCCCCGCCCCACCCAGCCTCCCAGGTGGCAGCAGGTTCCCCTGACTCCGCCCACACGCTGGCTCCCTCCACTGGCCCCGCCCCATCCAGCCTCCCAGGTGGCAGCAGGTTCCCCTGACTCCGCCCACACGCTGGCTCCCTCCACTGGCCCCGCCCCATCCAGCCTCCCAGGTGGCAGCAGGTTCCCCTGACTCCGCCCACACGCTGGCTCCCTCCACTGGCCCCGCCCCTTCCTGCGCAGGATCCTGGCTCCACAGAACCACGCTGGGAACTGTACCCCTGACAAAGGACTGTGGCAAGAGCAGAACCCGATAATGGGTGCTCACCACCAGGTCTTCCCTCCCTTCTCCCTCCTTCCCGCCCCATTTTAAAAGGGTCGTTTATGATAAAGGTCAATCCGCCCTCTCTTCTTGTCCCCACTCTGCCATCTGCATGTCCCTCATCCTTTCCCCTCATGCTTCACCCGACAACGTGCTGAGTGGAAACCACGGAGCCCCCTCCGCTCCTCCCAACTCCACTTTTCCTGGAGTCCCGGCACCTTCAGGCTAGTCTCAAAGTCACTCTAACCGGTGATTTCAACCGGTGTGACGCAAGAATGTCTAAAACAGGCAATACCTGACTATTTAGTCAGGGCTACTGACCGCTTTTCCCTTAGAATGTCAAATAAGAAAATGACAACAGCCAACACAATAGCCGTCCAGTGTGAATGAATCCAAATTACACCTATTTTTCTTGTCAGATCTGCAAAAAGTATCTTTTTCAGCGTGCTGCAGAATTTTAGTAATTAGTTTGTGTGTGCGGTGATGAAAAAGGTTGAAAACTGCTGCTCTAACCCAATTAGCAGGCTAAGTCCCTCCCAAGGCTCTTAATCTATCACCAAGACCTTGCCCCAACCACATATCTGTATGACCCCATTTCCATGTGGCTTCACCGGTTCGTGTCCCTCAGTCTAAAACATGCACCAACCTCCCCCATCGCAAAGCAAATGAGCAAACCCCTCGACGCTGGGCTACGGGCTCCCCACCCTTTGCCTTCAGAGGTGGCGAGTGATCCACTCACAGGGCCTCTGCTTCTTCCTCCCAGTCACCTCGATCCAGGGCAGTTTTACACTTTTAGTGACACACTTTCTAACCTAACAATTTTGGTTTTTGCGTATCTTCCATATGCCCAAACTCCATAATGCTAGGATCCTTTCTTAGCCCTACTGGAACTTCCCAGATCTGGTCCAGCCCACAAACGGTTAATTGAATGAAATGAAACAGGAACTTCAAGGCCAGCATGGGTCATCCCCCAGCCAGGCGAGAGTCTCAGATCACCTGCTCGGTTCATTCCCACTGCAGCTCTCGGCTGGCCCAGTGACCTGGCCTCCTGGTTGACCTTCCCAGCCCAGCCCTGTCCTTTCAACCCATCTTCCCCTTTGTTTTCTTTCCTTTGGTTCTCGAGTACACTTTCAAAACCTACTACAACCAACTCTCTTTCCTGCTTAACAATCTTTGCTGAAGATAAACACCTTGGCAAGACATTCTGGGCACTTCCTGATCTGGACCTTGCATCCTTCCACTGGGCTCCACCAACCCAACCTGCTGTTGCTAGTATACACATTGCATCGGATTTTGCAGCCTATGCTCATACAATCCCTGTTTTACTAGAACTTTGTCAGCGCCCGGCATCATCAGTGCTCACAGGATGTTTGCAGAATGAATGACAACGTGTTGTTGTCTGTTTGAAGTCATGCACAATGCAGAGCACCAACTTCGTTACCCGGAGCACGTGGTGTTGAACACGGACTGTCGCCAGCGCTGTGCCCAGTGGCCTCCGAGCCCCTGTTTCCTCACAAATAAAACAACTAACAACTACTTGACAAGGTTGTTGTTAGGATTGAATTCACAGATACAAAGTAAATAAAATATGTAAGAACAATGTACACAAAACAACTATCTGAAATAAAAATCATTCGATACACTACATTTTTAAAGAGGTATTGAGTTTGGTTCCAATCAGTACCAACTCATGCATAACCAACATTACCTGATCACATCATGAAATTAATCAGGGACCAAGAATGGACAACCCTCAGACTTGTGATTTTGGAGACTGTCCTTTTTTTTAAAAAAAATCTTCACCAGAAGATACCTTTCCACTGATTCTTAGAGTTGAAGGGAGGGAGGGAGGGAAAGAGACATCAATTGGTTGCCTCCCACATGACCCCATCCAGGGCCAGGGATCGAACCTGCAACCCAGGTACCCCTTGACTGGGAATCAAACCCCAGACCCTTCAGGGTTCTAACCACTAAGCAAACTGGTCAGAGCCGAAGACTGTCCTTTTCAATGTTATTGGAGCCTCAACAGATTTGTCTCCTCCCGCCCGCTTCTTGCAGGTGTCCTGGTCCCTGACACAGCAAACTGTTTATCACAGTTGATTGTGTCCACAGGAATAAGTGTTACACAGTGAAGCATTGCTTTCGAGAGCAGACTTTTCTCCTTTTAAACGAGTGACTCCGCTGACCTGCAGTAGCAGGGGCGGCGGGTCGACCAGCCCCCGCGGTGGGTCACTCACCATGCAGGCGGCCTGCACCGCCTCGGACACGTTGCCGGCGTTGGGCTCGCACCAGAAAACGTGGCACTCGAAGCGCTGGTTCCCAGTGTCCATGATGAAGGCAAACGTATGGATGTCCTTCCCGACGCCCATGAAGGACAGAAATCGCACACGACACTCCACTAGGATTTCCTCTTCGTTCTGCAAGACACACTGCTCAGCAGCCACCCTGGAGCCAGGCCACAGGCACAGACACGCGGACCTCAATCTTAGACTCGAGCTCAGAGTGGCCACTTACAGGGCTTGCACACACAGCAGCCTGAGTTTCGGAAGCACCTGCGTTTCTACAATGACCGGAAAGGGCATCGCACTCTGGCGTCTGCTCTTGCTCTGAGCGACACTGACACGGCGTGTGCTCCGCGCCGCGGGTTCCCTGAGGATGGCACCGTGTCGGGTGTGCTTCTCCCGTCCTGCCGCACAGGACACCAGGGACTCGAAGCCCTTTGTCCAGGCAAACCTAATGGAGACCCCACAGCGCCCAGAGAAAAGGAACCATGGGATCTCTTTCCACCCAGTTCTCCCCACGCTGAGCAGCATGTGGAATCATATTTCCATCTAAAACCGTGTAAAACAAAAAGCCGCCAAATCATGTCCCCATGCGATGCAGTGTGAAGAGCTGGTTGGAATCCATCCTGATGAACTCCACACCCTTTGCAGCAACCATATGCAGCGTGTAGTCAGTAAACACACCGGCATCTCGGACCATTGACACCTTGAGTTATCAAGTATCCACCCGGTGCTGTGGGATTGTTTCCCAGGCAAACTAAGCTGGTCTGAGGCCGGGAAGTTCTCTTGGGAGAAATAGTAGAGGTCTGGGTGAGGCGAAGGCGTGCAGCCGAGCAGCCCTGGAAGACACCGAGGCAGGGAAGGGCGCGGCCTGTTTGGAGACCCGGGGAGAATCCAGCACAGCTCACTGGAGAGGCAGGAGGGTCAGTGAGCACCTTACTCTCCTATACACGGTGAAGTGGGCTTGAAGGTACCTCTCAGTGGACAGAAGAGCCGCCAAGAACTTGTGGGGCCAGCCTGTCTGTATTCAAATCCTGACCCCGCTGCTTCTAGCACTGTGACCTTGGGTCATAATTAACCTCTCCGTGCCTCAGTTTCTCCAACCACAAAATTGGGATACTTTGAGTTGAGGCTAATGCTGGCCTCTCTCAGGATGACCAATGGCCCCTGCTACTATCAAACCATAGGACCTTCCACACTGGAAGCATCTCCTACGTCCCAGCCCCAGAAAACACAGCCCTGTCACTACTGGGGCCTGAGTAACCGGCCAGAAAACCAAACCATCAGTGAGTTACTGCTAGTGTCATCCAGTGACCTTCAGCAAATGACTCCAACCTCTTGGGCATATGAGGAAGGAGTCAGGAGCACCAGAATAGAAGCTTCTGGGTCCACAGGAAAGCAAAGGTGTGCAGACATCTAGACACAAAGGGCAAATCTTTTTTTCCCTTTTTCTGTTTTTAATGTAGGCTATTTTAATCATAAGCAAGCACAGCTCCCTAGAGGACCGGCCTGGGCTAAGTGCCCAAGTTTCATGGAAGATTATTGTACCCAAACCTCCCTGTAACCCAGAGAGAGTGACTGCATCTACGACCCTTACCTTTTCGCTGATGACAGTCACGGTAGCATCGGCCACGTTCATGTTCACGGATGGCCAATCCTCCTTGTTGGAGGAGGTCATCAGACTTTCTATGGCATTGTTCAGGGTATCCATTCCTGAATGGATGGAAGGAATCATTGAAAAGGTCCTAAAGCTATTCATCACTCTCAAATGTGGGCTCAAATCACCCAGCAATAGCTACATCCAGGCTGATCTTTTTTTTTTTTATAGCCCCAGAAGACATTTCATTTCTCATGCTTGCTTAAAATAATTTTTTTTTAAAAAGCCAGCTTTTCAACAGAACAACGGGTCATGAGAACTTAGAGATGCAGTGGGTGATGTTCTGTCTGATCGGATCGCGTCCTCTTTTCTCTCTCTCTCCAGGTTCCCCAGCGGAGTGTCTAAACGGTACTCAGGCAAATGGTACCTTTTCCAGCCACAGAGCCTTGGGAAAGGGGGCGACAGAAGCCAGTACCCGCCAGAATACCCCAATCTCCCTTCACTTTACGGTCACTTAAACAAGGCCAAGCATGGGTGGCACCTCTACAGACACTGCGAGCTATTCAGTGAGGCACTCTCGCTGGGGGTGTCACAGCTGTTTATTGGGGGAAGGGGATAACAACTTTATTGAGATATAATTCACACAACACACAAGTCGCTCATTTAAAGTGTGTAATTCTGCCCCGGCCGGTGTGGCTCAGTTGGTTGGAGCATCGTCCCATACACTGAAAGGCTGCGGGTTCCACTCCTGGTCAGGACACGTGTCTAGGTTGCAGGTTTGACCCCCGGTGGGGGCACGTACAGGAGGCAACCGACTGTTTCTGTCATATGTCAATGTTTCTCTCCTTCCCGTCTCGTCCCTCTAAAATCAGTAAAACATAGTCTTGGGTGAGGATTAAAAAAAAATTAAAGTGTATAATTCAATGTTTTTTTTAGTATATTCAGAGTTGTACAACCATCACCACAATCAATTTTAGAAAATTTTCATCAGCCCCAAATCTCTATCTGGAGAGGTGCCTGCTCTGGGCTCTTCATACACATGGAGTCAGAGCAGGTGGCCCTTGTGACTGGCTTCACTGGGCACGCTGTCAAGGTTCACCCATGTGGCAGCGTGTGCCAGGGCCCCACCCTTCCTCTTGCCAAGAAAAACTCCACTGCCTGGCAGTCCCACACTCATGTGTCCCTGTCAGCTGAGGGGCATCTGGGCGGTCTCTACTTTCTGACGGTCACGTAGCGCCGCCGGGACCACTCGCGTGCACTCTTCTGAGCGGACAAATGTCTCATTTCGCTGGGGTGTATGCCTGGGAGCAGAATGTCGCGGTCACACGGTAAGTCTAGGGCTAACTAGCCCAAAGCAGCTGCACCGTGTTCCCCGCAGAGGGACCGCGGGTTCCGCGGCTCCGCAGCCTTTCCTATCCAGGCACAGGCTGCCCCTCCAGCCTCCTCGGCGGGCTGCGGCCAGCCCCTAGGCTCTGCCGGGCTGTGCGCTGCTGCCGGGCCACCCTGGGGGGGAAGCACGAGGGCTCCCTCAGCCCCCTCCCTGCCAACTGGGCAAGGACTGAGCAGGGCCTCTGGGCCCCGAGGGGGAACAGAAAGCCCTGGATCATGCTTCTCTGATGTGCTGGGCAAACAAGAAATACGTGCCCGCTTTATTCAAGTCCCTACACTCTGGGGTCAAATGTCAGAGCAGCTTAGCCCATCCTCATGGCCCTTAAAAAAAAGGATTACGGTGTTATTTATTATTTTGTTGTTGTTGTTAATCCTCACCCAAGGATATTTTTACACTGAATTTTTTTTTAGAGAGAGCGAAAAGGGGGGGAGGGGAAGACAGGGAGAAAGAGAGAGAGAAAGATATTGATGTGAAAGACACATCAATTGGTTGCCTCCTGCATGACTCCAACCAGGGCTGGGGATCAAACCTGCAACCCAGGTACGTACCCTTGACCAGAATCAAACATCGTGACCCTTTGGTCTGTGGGCCGATGCTCTAACCGCGGAGCCAAACTGGCCAGGGCTGTCCTCATTGCTCTTTGGATCAGGCCTGGCTGTGTGCTCTGGCCGGCGGCACTGCAAGGGCCCGACTCAAGACAAGGCGAGGGAGTAAAGCAGAAGACCCACCCTTTTGGGAGGTGACCCCCTCCCATGAGCTCCCAAACACCTGCAAAATGAAAAGACATACGTGTTTCACCTACCGACTGGTTTGTCAACAGGTAACATGCCCAAATACTGCACGTGGAACTTCTGCACCAGCTCAGTCTTTGGTGTTGGAAAATCCACTACAGGGAACAAAGGCAACACGTCTTTCTCCGAGACGAGGTTCCAACACACACTGAGACAGCCACCACCCCATGCCACCTGGAACCCCTGGCTCTGCCTCCCCGCCCTGTGTTCCTAGAGGTAGATGTGGCCAGTGTTCTGTAAAAACAGACGCTGGGGCTCTGTCAATCAAAAGCCCATTCAACTTTCATTTCTAGGCAGAAACACAGTTGCACGCAGGAACTGGAATCTATGTGTTAAAGCTGTTGCTGTCTCTTTGGCGAGCACTACGTAACAGCTTTTGATGTCCTGTGTGTTAGGTGTGGTTCATACCCGGAGATAAGTTAATCACAAAGGGTGCAATCAGGGAAAATAAACAAAGCCCCCCCAAATATCAGCCCACATATTTGTTAACTAGCTGGTCCTTACCCCAGGCTGCAGATGAGTTAGCTAGCTACTCAGGACAGTATTTTTAACCCCGTCCAACAACACAACTCATCTCGGCCCTTCATCACACTATTGCGATGAGCAGCTCTGGGCGCGGAGGGCAGGCGCGCATGCTCGGCGGGTGCCGGTGGACTTGCGTGTGGTTTTAAGAGACGAGAAGCCCAGGGACTATCTGAGACCCTCTGGTTCTTGACGAGGGTGGAGAGCACCATCGTGAAGAGAGCAGGGACCACCAACCTACCCTGTAAGGGAACGTCAAGATTCACATTGGTTCTTTCCTGTGAGGAACTGCAGGCCAGGGCTTTGGCATTCTTCCGTTCAGCCATAATCTGAAGAAGAGAAAACAGTTGGTGTGTGGTTGCAGACCCGTCGGCAGCAATCTGAGCCAGGGAAGTGCCTGAGTGGACTGCAGCGAAGCTAAACCAGCGTTAGCCTGCTGCCTGACTTCCCCTCCCGGAGCACTGAGCTGCATATTCTGAGAACTGCGCTCAGTTTTTCTGGGAATAAGAGGTGAATGACTATCCCTCACAGTAACAGTCTCCTAATTGGTTGAAATTTATTCTTCCACTCACCAGACTCCCATCTTTACTAAAACAACCCAAACAAATATCCCTGGTCATGTGTGGACCTGCTGGCCCACTGCGGTCAGTGGAATAGAGCAATGGACATTCCCCACTGCTTCTGGGTGATGACTTTCAGGTACTGTTTTCAGGGCTCTGTGGACAAAGCACATTAGTCCCCCCTCACCCACATGGAATCCATGCCAAGAACCCCAGTACATGCCTGAAACCATGGGCAGTACCGAACCCTAGAAATACTATGTTTTTTCCTATACATGCATGCTTATGATAAAGCTTAATTTATAAATTAGGCACAGTAAGAGATTACCAATAATACCTAATAATAAAATAGAACTATAACAATATACTGTAATGAAAGTTATGTGAATGGCTTTGGGGCCATTATTAAATAAAATAAGGGTTACTTGAACGTAAGGACTGTGATTCGGAGATACCAACCTGACAACAGGATGGCTACTGAGTGACTAATGGGCGGCAGCGCGTCCAGCACGGATGCACTGGACGAGGGCTGAGCCATGCTCCAGTGGGACAGAGCAGGATGGCACGAGAGTTCAGTACGCTACTCAGAATGATGTGCAAATTAAAACTTAGGAATTATTTCTGGAATTTTCCATTTAATATTTCCAGATCGAGGTTGACAGTGGGTAACTGAAACTGTGGAAAGTAAAATCGTGGATAAGGGGAGAAACTACTGTACATGAGTTTAAATCCCACTTTGGCCACTTACTAGCTGTGTGACCTTGAGCAAGTCACCTGACCTCTTGTATCTCATTTACTTCACTGTACATGAGGATACTATTTATGTCCCTAATAAGTACGTTATGTCAGTTCTGAGGATTAAATGTAAGCACTCAGAAACATTAGATGCTATCACTGCTGTTATTCCCAAACAGTCTAAATCTTAAATCTGTCTACTGTCTTCCAAATCGTCTCTTCTCCATTAGGAGAGTCATCACCTAGCCTCCTGTTTACAGTGCTGTGGGTTTAGGGAATGAAGGAAGCTCCCCATTCCATGGTCCCCAAAGCAATTCACATCTTCATTCCCAACCCAAGCTTTCCACTCCAGGTGGAACAAAAGACACTGCCTCCCCAGGGCCCCACTGTGCGCATCTCCAAATCCGTGTCGGGACGGCGGGCAAGAGGCTGCTGACAATAGTGAAATGGAATTATTTACTGAGCACCTGCTCTGTGCCAGGCCGTGCTGAGGGCTTTACACTAGAAGACAAGCTCTAGAACGAAAATTTTTTTTGTTTTTTGTTTTCCCTCCCCTGTTTTGGTCTCTGCTGTCTCCTTAGAACAGTGCCTGGAGCATAAATGGTGCTCAATTATATTTGCTGCATGAACGAATGAAAAAATGACACCTGGAGAGTGTACTGCAGAGGGCGCAGCCATGCCTCAGTCCTGTCAATGCAAGCAGGTGACTATGGGCTGGGACAAAGACGGTGACCTCTATACTAGCACCCATCCTGCATGTCCCCGCCATGTGGGTCAGGGCGGCAGGCTGGGGGGCTATTTCTTTTGGGGCTGGGGACAGCTCCTGGCCCAACCCTTCCTGCAGGAACTGTGGCTGGTGCCCGCTTCACTCCTGCTGCTCAGATACCAGCCTGGGCCATGGTGGTGGCCGTGGCCATGGCCTGGGCTTTGCTAGTTCAGGAGAAATTGTGAGCATGAGGCTGGGTCATGATTCCAGCACAAAACCAGAAAGGTGATGTTCGGCAGACGGCAGAGGTGCTGGCAAAGTCCTGTGTTTGGATTCAATAAATAAGTTTGGGGAGTGGAAAGACCTGGCTGAGAGAAGTTGGTGACAGTGTCCTGAGGGTTTGGCCAACTACTATTTTAATACAAGCCAGGGGGTGATGTGGTGGCTAAGGGCATCAACCACCCAGTACTGTGTCCTTGGACGTTAAAGGACAGGGTGGCCCACGGTCTGCTCTCCGCCAGCTCACTTGGAGAACGTTCATTCTGGGGAACCAACCAGGGTATGTTCAGAGGAGGATGGTTAGGAGCTTGTAATCACGTGATCTGAAAGTGGCTAAAGAGGGAGGGAGAGGGATTCTGGAGAGGGAGGAAGTCAGGAGCAGAAAGACTCAACGATACTCGTCTAGCACTTCTAACCATGCCAGGCACAGTGCACAAGTTCAGATGTCGTCAAATAACCAAGGGTTGCACAGCAAAGAAACAAACTGGGGGAATCTGTCTTTGCTGCTGTAGATGACAGGTCTCAAGTAGATGCATAGGTTCTAGAGAGGAAGTTCAGGTCAACACGAGGAAGAGCTGTATAACAGAGCCACTCAATAACGGAACGGTCTCCTGCCAAGTAAAAGAGCCGTCAATGGAAGTCAAGTCAGTGGAAGTGCTGGGCAGGATTGGAGGCTTGTATTAGGATGCTGGGCTGGCTGCAGGGAGGGAGGGCGGTTAGACTGGCGATGCTCGATGTCCTCATTCTGAGGCTCTGTGACTCTGGTTAAGGAAGTGGGACCTTACAGTGAGACAGTGACCACAGCCCTGCCTCATAGCTGGTCCGTTTCTATAAGCTGCTAGGTGTCCTCAGAAAGTCAGCGTGTGTTCATGGGAACCCCCAGTGGCCTGCATTTCCACAGACACCCCAGGTGGCTTCTCACCAGCCTCCCTCCTGTTCACTCTCAGATCAGGTGGCCTGTCCTTGGGAAATCTGCCCTGACTCCTTCGCCCGTCTCCAGCTGGGCTCGATGCACACATCTCTGCCGCTGTTCTGTCCCCCTGTTGTACCCCAGACTGGGCGGGAGGAGGCTCCACCTATTTTGTAGATGGAGAGCCTTTCAGAGCAAGGCCCAACGAGCAGCGGGCTGAACAAAGGCCTGCCTGCTTCTGGGGAGCTCACTTTGCAGGTCAGAGAGCCCGCTCTCCCACCCCTTCCTGCTCAGCAGTGAGGGACCCCTGTGCCGCGACCCACCTTACCTTGGAACAGATTTCGTGGAGACTTGTGGCGATGGCTTTGGCTGGTGTGTCACATCGAAATACATGACATTTCAAAATTCTTGTATCTTTGTCTCTTGCTACATAAGCAAAATCTCTGTGCAAACAAAATTGATCAGTACATTACAAAAAGGAACCTCCGCCAACACGCTGTGGAGGGACGGTAACTGAGCCAGGAGCCGTGTGGCAGTGGTGAGCAGCACGCAGCGGTTAAAACAACGCAACAGCTACCTACAGCGGGGGGACAGTGCCGTGGACAGTAGGCATTCTTTTCTGGGTCGAATAACTACAGGCACGTGTGTGCTACATGCCGTTGAGAGGCTCTGACTCCTGGTGACCCTGTGACTGAGTGACGTCCAGTGTCCTGTCCTCACAGCCCTGCTCGGCTCCTGCAGCCTCAGGCTTACGGCGTCTATAACGGAGTCAATCCATCTATTTTCTTCCTCTCTTCCTGCTACCTTCTATTTTTCCAGCATTATTGGTCTTTTCCAAAGAAAAGACGTGCCCAAAGAAGGACAGCTTCTGGTTTGTCATTTTTCCCTCCAGCGATGTTTCAGGTTTACCTTGGAGATGTTGCAGGTTCGGTGCTAGACCACTGTAATGAAGTGAGTCACGTGACATTTCTGGCTTTTCAATGTATATAAAAGTTACGTTTAGCCCAGCTGGTGTGACTCAGCATGGACTGAGAGGTCCCGATTCAATTCCTGGTCAGGGCACATGCCAGGGTTGCAGGCTCAATCCCCAGTAGGGGGTGTGCAGGAGGCAGCCGATCGATGTCTCTCTCTCTCACATCAATGTTCCTCTCTCTCTCTCCCTAAAAAAAATCAATAAAAACATATTTTAAAAAGTTATGTTTAGCCCTGGCCAGTTTGGCTCAGCGGTTAGAGCGTCGGCCTGCGGTCCTGAGAGACCCGGGTTCGGTTCCGGCTGGGGGCGCGTGCCTCGGTTGCAGTTTGTCCCCGGCCCTGGTCGATCGTGTGGGTGGCAGCCACTCGATGTGTCCCTTTCACGTCGATGTTTCTCTCTCTCTCTGTTCCTCTCTCCCCCTCCCACTCTACCTGAACAAAAAGTGGAAAAATGTCCTCGGGTGAGGATAAAAAAAAAAAAAAAAAAAAAAAAAAGTTATGTTTAACTATACTGTAGTCTATGAAGTATGCAACAGTATTATGTCTACAAAAATAATGTGCATGTCCTCATTAAAAATGCTTTATTGCTGGAAAACACTAACCTTCATCTGGGCCTGTTGGAAAATGGCACCAGCAGACTCCCTTGACACAGGGTTGCCACAAACCCTCCATTTGCAAAACATGTAACATCTGCAGGGTGTAATAAAACGAGGCTGCCTGCACCGCGTCCCCCAAACCTGGTCTGTGGTAGTCTTGGACTCTATGACAACCCTTAATGAAAACTGAATTTTACAGAAACCCCCTATCTAGAGAAACAAATATTCTGATTATAAAACAGAAAACAGACTTAAGAACAGAAATTGCAGGAGTGACCCACACAGCGAGGTGGCAGAAGCAGAACAGGCTCTGACGTGTACACATGTGCACGGAGGAGGGGTGGACCACAGCGGCTGAGGAAGGGACGGGCAGCCCCGGCGGCTGGAACAGACACCAGATTGCATCCTGCTGGGGCACTGCGTTCTGTCAAGCACTTCTCACTCGGCAGGGCCCGGGGCGCACAGGGTTCGCTCAGACCCCAGGGTGAGCACCAGCTAGGGCTGCCTTCAGTGCCTATTTTACTCATGCAAAGGAGAATTCCTGTGACGTTACCTGGCTTCAATGCAACCATGCCATGTAACTCAGTTTCTCACTGTTATTACGGGAGGACAGTAGTTTAAAGATCAAAGTGTTTATGAAAAATACATGCCCAGAGGTACCCGCCTGGTAACGGATCACAATGATTTCTTTGCTTTTGTTGCTTAGCCGGGATAATGTCTGCAGATATAACCACGGGTGAATTTATTTTAAATTATTTCTCTTAAGGTAAGAACTGGTGGTCTTCTCAGATACCCTTGGCTTCCCTGGGAAGACAGAGCGATGGATGCCCTGGAGGCGGAGGAGGAAAGCCTGCCCACGCCTTGCCTTGCCCAGCAGGCCTTAGTGGGGCTCCCGAGCCTGGCTCCAGGGCAGGGGCATCTCTGCCTGGCTGCCCGCAGGCAGTCTAACATATGCTGTCCACACCTGACTTCCCAGCCTCCTCCTCCTCACATTCTATGTCCGCCGGTGTCCTCCACCAGGGACCAGGAGGCCTTCCTGACTCCTCCTCACCCCAGTCCCTAGGTTCAGCCTGTTTCATCTTCTGAAATGTCCTGAACCCACCTTTTCCTTGCCAGCCCTACTGCCACGCCGGCACCCGCCTGTTCTTGCGTCCCTGCCTTTGCTCACGCTGTCTCCATCCCTTGTCCAGGTTTAGGACTCGGCAGGGGCTGCGTGGCACCCTTCCTGGCACTGCTACGGACCCTCGCACAAGGCACTCGTACCCTAAGTGTCTGTTTATGAGTTTGTCTTCCCACAACTCCTTGCAGCTCCCTGAAGATATGTGTCTTATTCATCCGCAACACCCCGTCCAGGCCTGGCCATACCAGGTCCTGAGCACAGGCCTGCAGCGCACACCCCAGCTTCCTTGGTCAGAGGTCTTGTAAAGGTGGGTCTAAGCAAGGAGCTGGGCCCAGACGGTGAGGGGTGAGCACAGTCTTCTTCCAGGCCTGGTCCAGAGGCCCTTCCATCCTCGTCTCTACCACCATCAAGGTGACATATTACTTGAAAACGACATGAAGAGGAGGCACCACTTTGGAGCCCGTGCCCAAGGGAAGCCCTGTGTTCGGTCCCCCTCCCTCTGGCTACTCTTCTTCCCCGGAGGGATCCTACCACCCACACACAATGTCTCCCCACACACAACTCCTTTCCTTCAGAATTCCACATTCAGCCCCCACTGTTCTGAGGCCAGATCTCTTCAAAGCTCCATGGTCACACCACAGAAAGTCTAAAAATCTTTGTCTGGACTTCAGGACTTCCAAAACTTGTCCCACCAACTCTGCCAGCATCTTTCCTCCAGCTGAGGAGTCTCCCATCTGCTCAGGGCAGTGGGCCTCCACATCCACTCACCGCAGCCCCTCACCTGCCCACTGGCCTCCCTGCTCTGTCGGGAGCACACCACTCCTACGGTGTGCTCCAGCCCAGAAGCCTGCTGGCCCTCTGCTCTTTGCTTGTGTCTAAATGCTTATTACAATATGTAAATTCTGTACTACAATGGGTCTCATTACAAAAGGACAGGAGCTGTAATTACCATACAGGTCTCAACTTCCGAGACAGTAAAGAATAACCAGAGGGCAATTAATTGGGATTCAGGACAATCAAATTCCAGTCCTGTTACTGATTCGACTGAGGTATAGAAGCCTGGGCATGGAGTCCAATCTCATCTCTAAGTAAGGAGGAATATGCCAAAAAACCACAATTTCCACGGCCCTTCCTGGCTCCAACAGGCTATGATACAAGCGTCCAGACCCACCGTGTGCTCCCTGGCTGCTGGCGGCCCTACAGGTGTAGTGACTCCAAGGCCACCTGCGCTCAGGGAGGAGGAAACAGGTCCCGATCAATAAGCTCCCACCAAATTCAGCTCTGTGCCCTCTGTTCTTTCTCATGCAATCCCTTAGGAGTAATTTTAAAACATTATTACTAATCTCGATTTTCTTCTGGCTCAGAAAAGGTGCTTAACGCCTTAGGCAACCATCTGGAACCCACATCTTCCCAAAAGGAAAGCTCAGCAGGCTTTGTTTGGGGGACTCTATCCTTTCCTGTTCCCCCCTAGGTACCAGACTAATGACCAGAGACACCGGAATCTGTCAGTCCGTGAGAGGGGCTGAGGCTCGTAACTAACCCTCAGGGGTTTCATCTGCTTCCCAGGGAAAAACAAGTTTTCCCTCCTCCTCCCGGTGGAGGTCGAGGGTGGCACGTCTCCTCCACTTTATTCCCTGGCGCACACCCCGAGTCATCCTAAAGCAGCCCAAAGCTCCAAACACGGGCATTTGCAGGAGGGGTGAGGCCTCTCTTCCAGACCTGGAGCGGAGACAAGCCGACTGGCTTCCTCTACGTGCAACGACACATGCGGCCAACCTACTCTCACTGTTGTTCAGAACGAAATCAAACATCTCTTAACTGTTTTTAAAATATATATATATTTTTATTGATTTTTTTAGAGAGGAAGGATGAGAGAGATAGAAACATTGATGTGAGAAACATTGATCGGCTGCCTCCTGCACGCTCCCCACTGGGGATCGAGCCTGCAACCCAGGCATGTGCATTGACCTAGGACCTCTCGGTCCATGGGACAATGCTCAGTCCACTGAGCCACACTGGCCGGGCTTTTAACTGGCTGTTGTAAAAGCCTGGCTTTTAGCACCTCACTTCTCAACAGGGTGCTGCGGTAGACAGAATAATGACCCTCCGCAGACAGCCATGTCCTAATGTCGAGGTCTGTGTATGTTCCCTCACATGGCAAGAGAGACTGCGGATGTGTTTACAGGAGGGTCCTGAGAGCGGCCGTTACTCTGAATTACCTGGGTGAGCCCAACACAATCACTAGGAGGAGGCGGCACTTTCCTGGAGTGACAGCCAGGAGCAGGGGCCACGGGCCGAGACAGTCAGCAGCCTGTGAAAGTGGGAACGGCAAGGCAGCCTCCAGAAGAAACACAACCCCGCCAGCACCACTGTGGCCTGTGAGACCCGTTTCAGACTTCTGAGCTCCAGAATGGTATAAGAGAATAAATCTGTGTTGCTTTAAGCCTCTAAGTTTGTGATAGTTTGTTACAGCAGCAACAGGAAACTCATACAGCTGCCAGTTGGCTTTATATTCTAATGAAATATGCAATAGTATTAAAGACTTACGGTTTTATTTGTTTTTTTTTTGTTTTTTTTTTATCCTCACCCGAGGATATTTTTTCCATTTTTTTTGTACAGATAGAGTGGGAGGGAGAGAGAGGAAGAAACATCGACGTGAAGGGACACATCGAGTGGCTGCCACCCGCACGACCAACCAGGGCCGGGGACAAACTGCAACCGAGGTACGTGCCCTTAGCGGGAACCGAACCCGGGT